GTAAACACTCAAGAGGTAATGGGCACGAGTTGAAATACCATAAATTCTACTTAAATATATGAGGGGAAAAAATGGGTGAGAGTGGTCAAATGTTGGAACAGATTACCCAGAGAGTTTGCAGAGTGGAAGATATTCAAAACCTGACTAAACAATGACCTAAGCAACCTATTCTATCTGGCCTTGCTTTGAGCAAGGGACTGGACTAGTAAATCTTCAGTGATCCCTTCTAACCTCAGTTGCTCTGTAATTCTGCATCACTCAGTGCAATGTCATCACCTTATTGACATAATTATCTCTAGATTAAGAATCAGACTCAACATCACTAGTACTAAGAAATCCCTATAATGTACAGTGAAATATTTTTTGCAGGAGGTAGGGTTTTATTATATTATCATCATGGACTTGCATTGACACCAAGTAGAAAAAAAAAAGACATTTTATAGATATATGGATGAAAGATTAAACCTGAAGTTGAGTGCATAAAGTTCTCTAAAGAAACTACCTTAAAAAGGAAAAATGTATGTGCATATTTATACACTCAATATTGCTGTACTCCATACTGCAGAATTACTGAACAAGCAGTTCAGTTCAACAGAACAAGTTCACTCTCATTTCTTGAAGATGAGATGAACTGTGTTTTCCTCCCAGATTGTTTGTGAGCTCTTTATAATACTTCTTTGTTGTTTTCTTGGAACAAGGTGAATTTTGCTTCATGCACAGCCTGTAGCTGATGGAGATTGTTTTACATACTTCTTCCTTTTACCTCAGTACAGAATGAGGTTCATGCTGTTACCATATACATTTTGCAGACAGATGGACAGTTTCAAGTGGAGTTAAAGCCAGCAGTATGGCTGTTTTATGCTGTTTTAAGCATACCTGCCTAAAGCCTTAGTTTCTCCAAATTTTATTCAACTGGACCTAAATGGCCATTATGGCAGAGACAGCTGGCAAGTAGCAGAACACAAGCTATGCCCAGCTTTTAAGCACTGGCAGTCCCATAGTTAAGAGAGGTGACAGCTACATTAATGCTTGCAGTTACTTCTGCAATCTTCCCACTTGAGAAGAATTCTCACTGAGCTCATTACAGGCACTTTTACTTTAACAATGGGAGGAAAAGCATGAAAATTAATTTGTTTCAACCTATTTTTATAACATTTTGGTTTACTTTACAGATCTCTGTTTTGACTGATGAAAGAATGAATATTGATCCAGGGTACAGGAGAGAAAGACATGCAATGAAACACAACAGATCCTTAGAGTAGAGCCGATTTTAAACAAAAGAGTTTAATGCATAGATTATTTAAATCATTTAAAATGACTGATAATTTTATTTAAACAGGAAGAAACCAAAATGAAAATCAACAGATAAACTTCTAACATCTCCACGTGATGCAATACAGCATAAGGTGCACCTGACGAACACAGTTCTTTACAAACAAGGTACACGTAACTGGAAGGAAAAAGGCTGGGATTTATATAATCTCATCACAGAAAAACTATTCATTAAGTTTTATGATCAATTATCTCTGCAAGTATTAGTAGGATCTCTCCTTTTCATCTGCCTCTAATACTTTCTGGCTTTTTGCCCTGATAGAGTATGGCAGTGTTTAAAGGACTGTTTATACAGATGAAGAAACTTGAATAGTGTAACTGGATATGGCACCAGCTTTACAAGTTAGAGAAATCAGCTTATGCAGCAAAATTCACACCAGGGGTGGATTCCAGCTTTCAGTTACCCTAAAATAGAATGCACACTCCATGTCCTATACTTACAAACATGGAACAACTATCTTCCATACAAAAAGAGCCAACAATTACAAAATATAAGATAAAAGTCATGATTTTGAACATTTCTTAGGAAAAAAACCAGCACTCTTACTAGCTTGATATCATAGAATCATAGGATAGTTAGGTTTGGAAAGGGCTTTAAGGCAGGGACACCTGACACTAGACCATGTCACCAAAGACTCCGTCCAACCAGGCCTTGAACACTGTCAGGGATGGAGCATTTACCACTTCTTTGGACAACCCATTCCAGTGCTTCATCACCATCACGGTAAAGAGCTTCTTTCTTAAATCTAACCTGAATCTCACCCATTTAAGTTTAAACCCATTACCCCTTGTCTTATCACTACGGTCCCTGATAAAAAGTCCCTCTGCAGCATCCTTGTAAGCCTCCTTCAGATACTGGAAGGATGCTATGAGGTCTCCATGCAGCCTTTTCTTCTCCAGGCTGAACAGACCCAACTTTCTCAGCTTGTCAATATAGTGTTATTTAAGATAAACTTGACAAAGTGTTGAGATCAGTAGACCACCATCACCCTAAAGAGATTGCAGAGACAATAATGAAGCAAACTCATAAAGCCAAGCATGGAAGAGTTCTTGCTAAAGAGGTGCTAAGTCCTGCCACTCTCACTAAGGCTTGCATACAATATTTTGAAAGCAGATCTACCAAACCAGTCAGTGTTTTTACTGGCTTTATTATTACTAGAAGAGCAGAACTTGTACCCGAAGACACAGAATTATTCTGTATTGAAGTAATAAAAATTTAAATATTGTAGCTCGCATTTACAGAAGATAATAGGCTTATAGGCTTCTGCCTACTTCTCTTTGACACAGAATGGAATATATGGCATGACCAAACATTAAAAGAATACTTACAAAAATAATTTCTTTATCAAACAGTGTGTACAGCCATAAGAGAGACTTTGCCAAGTTTCAAAGAATGATGATGCAGAATACAGGGCTCTGGAGAATATAATTTATAACATAATTAAAGTTTCAGTGTTTTCAGCAACATACTGCCAAAATCAGTATTTTTTAAATACTGAGAAATACTTAGGGACTGTGATGATACCAGAGGAAATGTAGGAAACAGATCACAGTTGTGATGAAAGCTGTAACTTATGATAGATTGATACCCCTCTATTGAAGGAAGAATGACTCTCACCAGAAAAATTATTCCCTAAAAAATATGTCTGAGTAGTAACAGAAGCAGAAAATCATAGCCCAGAAGTAGTTTCGTTGAACACACAGGGACAATTACAGAGCAGAAAGGGAAATACATCAAATTTAAATTTTCTTTCCTGTTCCCTGGCCTTCCTAACTGGTGAAAAAATTTCCTAAGCCACAAGGGCAAATATAATGCAGTTTACACACAACTATCTTGTAATAACCTAGAACCCAAGACTCCAGTCAGAAACAAGAACTCTCCCTATCACACAACAGCTGTAAATTATCTTCAGTGTATTTCATGTGCAACCACCATATGGAAATCTCCAAGGGCAATAGCCTTGTTACATTCTACCTGCATTACACCAGCCTTCATCACAGACAGCTGAAGCTAACGGATTTATGCTGGCTGTATACAGCAATGCAAGCGACATTAAAATCAAGTTCTAGATGAGCAACAAAATCTCAGCAGTATATAGAGGAGCACTATACAGTTGACTGTACTTTTTATCAGACTAGCATTCTTGATTTTTATTAAGATAATCCAGTCCAGTTTTGTCTCATTCTCTTTTTGTGGGCCATTTCTCTACCATTTCTTCTGATTATACCTATGACCAAAGGGATTCTGAAAGGAGATGGTACTTCCCTCAATTAACTGAATAAACTAGTAAGAACTTGCTGTCAGGTACCATTAACTATCTGAATAAATATCCAAGATGATCATCTCACAGGATCATTAGGATTAGAAGGGACCTCTGGAGATCATCTGGTCCAACCTCCCTGTCAAGACAGGCTCATCTAGAGCAGGTTATACAGGAACGTGTCCAGGGGGGGTTTGAATGTTTCCAGACACAGACTTCACAGCTCCCCCGGGCACCTGTTCCAGTGCTCTGCCACCGTCAACATAAAGAAGCTCTTCCTCCTGTTGAAGTGAAACTTCCCGTGTTTTAGTTTATTGCCATTGCTCCTTGTCCTGTCACTGGGCACCACTGAAAAGAGTCAGGCACCATCTTCCTGGTGCCAGAATGATTTGAAAAGTAATACTTAAATTTAGTCTTCAGATAAATACTGATTTCACCTTCCTGTTTTGATATATAAGTTAATCTTAAACCAGAATTATCTGAAAACTTTAGCCAAGTTACTTTCAATTCAAATAAACGTAAGGGAAAGACCACCATTGACTTCTTTCTTCAAAAACCTTTACATATTTGTACTTCAAACTGGAAAACATAAATTTAAATTAATTAATTAAATAAGCAAATAAATCAGAGAAACTTCCTGTCCTGTCACTGATTCCCAAAACTCTGCTTATTATGCATAACTTATTTTAACCTAAATGACATATCACAGATTTAGCAATTGGTACACTTCTGAGTAACTACAGGAATTGGAAGAAATTGTAGGACTTATAGGAAGTTAGGAAAACCCTGGGAAATATAATGCTTTTGAAACACCTGTCAGAGGTTTCCCTGAAGAATAGAAAAATCCCTCCATTTGCTTGGAGATGTAGGGCACCACTAACCTGAATCACTTGAGTTAACCTACTCAGTGTGATTTGACTCTAGTTATAAACCAGTGTGTGTCCCCCACTCCTTCCTTCTTACTGTCTTGAAGAAAAGATTCACATGACAGTGTGCTTCAGTGGAAGTCTGAGGAAACCCATGGAAGAACTTACACTGGACACTTCTAAAGACAGATATGCAGCACAAGCCATAGCCAGGACTCCCTTTCTTACTACATCAATGCAAAGAACAGTCAAAACAACTTTTTCTGCCTCTACAAATGAACATCTAGTTGAAACTAGCACATCAAGCAAAGGCAAGGCAGGTATGAAGCAGATTCTGAGAGAGGCACGTCTGCTTGATGCAGTTATGAATACATTTGCTGATTCAAATCTTACTGTCCTAAAAGTCAGCCACTCCCTCAGAAACAATGATCCTTACATATTGCTTTGCGTCCTTTTCATTACTGTTATTATCCAGTTTTGAGAAAAGCTATTTTGCATATGGTTTTCATCCTCCAGTGTTTATATAACAGCCATACTGTACCTTAAATATATCTTCGCTGCTGGGTTTAAACAGCTGGTGTTTCCCAGATCCCAATATAATAGGACCAGAAGCTTTGTTTTCTCCATAAGCGTAAAGGGATACTGTGGCTGTTGTGCCAGCTGCTTCAAAATCCCCAGTGACTACAGTAATCTTCCAGTCTTCTTCTGTAAAGTGAAAAATAAAAATGCTTTCATAACTGTTAGTGATATGTAGCAGTTTACTTGAAAGATATAAATAAAAGCATAGTTTAGCCCGGGGACCATAGCTACTATCAAAAAGTGGTTAGGGTTGGAAAAGACATTAAGATCATGTAGTTTCAACACCCCTGCCTAAAAGGTAACGGTGTTGAGAGAGGCAACAGAATACTGGTGAAATACTACATCATTCAAACTCATCTTGGGCAAGTTCTGTAACTTTAAAGACTTAAGATGTTTTCAATGTACTAAAGCTGGATGTATAAACACAGCCTGCTGAGATTTCTAATGACAGCCCTGTGGGTCATCGCGGGAAAAGCCTAACCTTCAGAATTAGGATTATGATAACATATATAACCAAGAAATTCAACAACAAAAAAAAAAAAGCATTAATGCATCCCAATTAAGCACAATTTTGTCTCATTTTATGTTGATGAGACACATCAACAAGAGTTCTGTTTGCCTGGATGGAGGTATGACATTGAGATCAGCATGAAAAAAAAAAAAAGGTTTTGGAGAAAATTCTGACACTAGATGAGGACTCATTAGAAAATCATTTTATATAAAACTTCCCTGACACTGAAATGTCATCTCTTCTCCCATACAATGAACACAAGTTATTTAAATATCTGCAAGCAGCTTAACACAAATCTTACTTAAAGAAAGAACAATACATAATTTCTACATCTGAAAAGCTGGGATTGCACACTCTCCACCCCTTTTTTTGATTGCAGCTTTTGCCTGTATGAAACAAGCTCCACTTAGTGAGTGAAATTCATTCTGTGGAAGGCAAATGACAAATGAAATACCAGCCCACAGTCATCTTATAAATAAATGCCACACTGTTGTCCTGGGTTCAGCAGGAGGAGTAACTTTTCTCCTTTCAGCCTGGGAACAACACTGATAATACTGATGTTTTTAGCTGTTGCTAAGTAAGGTTTACTCTGACCAAGGACTTTCTGAGTCTCATTCTTTGCCAGGGAGGAGTGGAAGCCAGGAGGAAGCAGAGAAAGGACACCTAACCCAAACTGACCAAAGAGGTATTCCATACTACAGCACATCATGCCCACTATATAAACTGGGGGCAGTTACCTGGAAGGGCTAGATCACTGCCCAGGTGGGGCTGGGTATCAGTCGGCAGGTGGTGAGCAGTTGAATTCTCTTCCCTTGTTATTTCCCTTATTATTATTATTATTGGTGGCAGCAGCAGTGGTTTGTGTTATACCTTAGTTACTGGACTGTTCTTATCTCAACTTGGGGGAGTTACATTCTTTTGATTCTCCTCCCCATCCCTCTGGGAGTGGGGGGAGAAAAGGGGGTGGGGGGAGTGAGTGAGCAGCTGCGTGGTTACTGGCTGGGTTTAAACCACAACAACTGTAAACTGCAGTTTTATCAACAGAAACCTGTCTGGTAATGCCTGCAAGAATTAAATTTGTTGTCTGACAGAAGTATTTGTCTTGGCCCACCCCATTATCCCTCAGTAATTTGCCCAAGAAAAACTGTACTCGAGCAGGAAGTTTTACCGCCAGTTTTCCAAATTTTTGAGGTCTGGCTGACACCTGGTTTTAGAAGGTGATAAACTTTTAAATACACAGCTGGGAATTCAGAAAACAACAACCGCTCATTTGGTCTCTTCAATCAAACCTGGCAGGTTGAGGGAGGTGATTCTCCCCTTATACTCTACTCTTGTGAGATCCTACCTGGAATACTGTGCCAAGTTCTGGGGACACCAGTACAAAACAGACATGGACCTGTTGGAGGAGGTCCAGAGGGTGGTCACAAAAATGATCAGAGGGGTGAAGCACTTCCCCTATGACAAGAGGTTGTTATCCACCCTGGAGAAGAGAAGGTCCCAGGGAGACCTTCTTGAAACCTTTCAATATTTAGAGGGAGTTTATGAAAAAGACAAATACTTTTTACCAAGGCCTATAGTATACAGGATAAGGAGGAATGGTTTTAAACTGGGAGGGTAGATTTAGTTAGGACATAAGGGAGGAATTTTTGACAATAAGGGTAGTAAGACAATGTGGACACTTTCCATGGTGGGTGGGTGGCTGGACTAGATAATCTTTAATTTCCATTAGAAATGATCAGACTCCAGCTTGTAGTAAACTCTTTTGTGCCTTTGAAAATGCCCATCCTCACCACTTTCTCTGTAGACCCACATTCCTGACAAAAGTACCACAGCATCAGGCTACGAAAGGACTAATACAATTAGAATGTGAAAAGCCTCTACACACTGGAAACAAAGAGCTAAGGCAGGGGCTCAGTGTCCCACGGAGGAGCTCATTTATCAAATAAGTCAGCCTCTTCTGTTTTCAAACAGTATAATATTAATTCCTTAAAGACAAAGTTCCTTTGGACCATTTTGCCAGAAAATAATGACAAGTCAATTTACAAATGCTTGTGAAAAATGGAGTGGCCAAAGGGTAAAATATAATGCACTCCTCCTCCTAAAAAGTCAAGTCATTCAGAAACAAATATTCATTTTCAAGCAGGAAAAATGTATTCTTTGTTGGACTTGTTCATTGTCTGATTTATTATAACTCTGGTTTTGATGGCCTTTTGTATTCTATTATCCTCTCCAAGTTTCTCTTTCATTAAGCAATGCAATTTTGAAACAACACAGTTGGCTCTCTTCAAACTGTATATTCTGGCTAGCTCAATCCCCACTTCCAAAGGAGAGGTATAGTGTCAGGAAACTATTTTGCACAGAAACACAATTCTCAAGGTTAGAAAAGGAATCAAACTTCCACAAAAACATGATAAAAAGGAGTTTTGGTTTGCACTCCTCTATATTGACTTTGAAGCTTTTGGGGTTTTTGGAAACAGACAGGACTTCGTGTTTGAAGGACACTGTGGGTATGGAAGAAGAATCCTAAAATTTCTTATCTCTTTGATGCCAGAAATCCTCATTACATTCCTCCATCCTTTCAAATAGAAACTAGAAATAGTAGGTATTACAAACACATCATTCTCATTCTCTTTGGCATAAAATGCTGGGATTTGTTCTGATGAGGCAGAGTACCAATAGATACTTAATGACTCATGGGAAAAAAACTAGGTAAAAAATACCTCAGATCATCTACTCAGCCTCAATTGAAGTAGTCTCTCTAGGTGTGGAATACGTCAATTCAAGTCTCTTTCCCACTGTTACATGTTTTGGTAACTGCCTGAAACAAGAAGCTATTTGATGTGTATGCCTTTGGCTACCTAACTTTGAGACTTTCGCAACAACCCGCCTAATGTTTCCATGAAACAGGTCTGTTTTGACAAAGGGTAAGTTTTGTCAATGACAAAGCTGACCAGCTCTTCTGGACAGCACAAAGGCATTTCTCTCACAGGGTCAGGATGAGAGTGCTGTGAGCAAAATGTTCACTTGCAATGCGAAGCCAGTCTTCTCTGAAGATAAGTCAGTTTTATATACACTCAGTTTACTTCTACTCTGTAATCTTTTGTTAGGTTTATGGGGAATTTTTTATCTGCTGCAACTTTTACTGCACAACCAGACAAGCACAGTTTAAATGACACTGCACAGAGATCCAACTGTAGGTACAGAAAGGACGAATCAGATTGATTTGAACTATGTAAAGAAGGATTTCCATGTGTAGGCCTTGTGGAAGCAAGGCATGCAGAACAGCTAAGGCACAAAGTGATCAGCAGATCGAAAGTCAATACTTTCTGAAAAAGGCATAGAAATGAAGAAGGGCAAAGATATTTGTGATTCAAAATAAATTTAATAATAGGATGGAATTTTAATATAATTTGTAAAATAGCTGGGTACAAATTTTATCATTAGCTACTTGCCATACAGACACTAAGACAAGGTATTTGGGTCATCATGGATATCTTGACTGACAAATTATGAATAAACATTTTCAAACTTTCTCCCAACAGCTTCTGAATTATTGTTCAGTAATATGCATGAAGCACTTCTCACAGCTGAGAAACTGTTATGTGCTATTAAGAAATATAATTTAATTGCACTGGCTGCAAGGACAGAAAAATCAAGCTGAACAAATATGAAATCACAGGTAAAAAAGGAAAATGGAAAAGTTAATGTTGAGAAAAAAACTAGATATACCCCAGTAGAAAGAATCATATTAAAAATTGAAATTAAGATAGATCACCAAAAAAGTCCTAGAAAAATAAGAATTTTCAGTCAAACAGGGAGAAAATCAATGTTATGGAAAGAAAAATGGCAGGATAAAAAGAAAACATAAACAAAGATATTTATTGTTTAAATTAAAATGTGAAGTTCAGAGTTTAATAAAATATTCAAACTGTATTGTAATTAATGCTGTAAAATAAATAAAAATGGCAACAAATATGTTAAGCAATTAGTTCTGAAATAGAAACTAGCTTCATTAGACAGAAGACTAGATCAGCATTTACCATTTGCTTCTTCTTGCATTTTCAGCTGCTGATTTATTTGAAATTCTGCCAAAAAAAAAAAGTTAATTTAATAAAGGGTCTATCCTTTAACATTAAAGCAAAGGTTTGAAAAAAGAGATGAAAAATCATTCTGTGTTTCTAGCCAATATAAAAAGCTTTCGTTCTTCATTCCTTATTGCTGTCTCACGATCATGTACGCACATTATACAATGCAAACACAAAAGATATACTCCCAGAAATATAACAAAGGAAGCTGAAAAAATTGTTAACCCTGATATTTAAAGTGGAAATTAAATTCAGCCCAGATTTCTTCAGAGAAGAAATTACAAATTACTGATCTTATTTCCCTAAAGTTAGAATAAACATTACCTTGAGGGTACAGCTCAATTTCTGAATGAATCACACCTTGGGACATAAATGGAAGCCACCTAAGAATAAGAAAGCAGGTAGGAATCAATTTTTTCTCCATCATATACCAAATAACTGAATGATCAATATCTTGTTTTCAAGCTGAACACATGTAACATAAATGCCTCTAAAATTTTGGTATTTGATGGAAGTTAAAATATAAATTATTTGACCCAACAAAGATGTTTATTTGTGCAAATATAAGAGCTGATTAAGTGTAAAATATACCTGTGCTGTATTAAGAGACTCATGTGGCATGACTGTACTTACTAGTATAGCTAAGCAGAAGAATATGGCACTGAACTATTTTTCAGTACTACAGATTTAGTGTTAAGTATAATTTGTATGTACCTATTGCATTGTTTCTTAAAATCAAAGTTTAGTGTTAAAATCAAAGATTGAACTAGATATTGTTCTTCCTTATTCCTCCTAAAAATTGAGGAGAGATTGATAAGTCTGAAAAAGTACAACTTGAGGCAAACATTGGTTAGATTTCTTAATCATGTTATTCTAGGCTATGTGTAATTTTCAAACCTTTTCATCCAGAACATGGATTATCAACTGTTTTAACTTCTCCCTGCTTGGTGAAAAATCAGCTGCTTTTCTACTAGGGAAAAAAAATAAATCAGCAAGTTTCTGGGCTGTTGGTTTTTACTTGCTTGGTCTACTTCCATGGACCCTCCAGGAACAACCTAACCCATTCCCTCTCATATGAAGTACACTGGGAATCCAGTATAACATGGGCAGTATGACTCCAGAGCAGCTTCTGCAATCTTAAATGCTAAAAAATATCAGTCTGTAGCTAACAAATACTGTCTAACTGAAACTCAGTGAGGGCTATTGGGAGTTCAGAAACTAATATCAGATTTTTAAGTCAGATAAAATGCTGGTTTCCTTGTCAAATGAGAAAAAATACAGCATTTTTTTCAGGTCCTAGATAATAAAATATCAACATAAAATAAAGCTGTGAGGCTGAATTTTAATAAATTTGAGAGATTTCTGAAGAGCCAAAACTTCCTCCCTCCTTGAATAGAGCGCGGTGTTTCAGCTTTAAGTTTTGGCCAATGTGGAAGCTGCCCCTGCCCCTCACCACTGATCTATTTTAACCCTTTTTCTGTGGCTGTTTTCTTATACAAAAGTCAGGAATGAAAAAAAAACCTCTCTCTCTTTCTTTTTAAAAGTGCCTGTCACTGGATAATTTTTCTGATCAACATCTGATGTTAACTATCACAGAATTAATACAGCAAAGTGCCCTGACTTGCATCATTCCTAAGCTGTGTTGCCCTAATAATGCATTGTCCCTCAGCCATGTTATCCACTGGAGGACAGCATGAAACTGAGATGATTTTACATGATTGAGGTAGGCAGCTGGCCTGCATCCAAATCTGCTCCAGATAGTAGATCCAAACCTTGTATAGTCTTATACTACTAAAAACCTCTTTTTAAACCTCACTTTAGTCTTATGCTACTAAAACCCCTGTTGCTTATTGAAGAAAGATCGCAGGTTTAGTTTTCTCAGGTGAGAGAACATCTTTATTCCTGTTTTTGACAATGTGACACCAAGAGTTGCAAGAAGCTGTTCAGTATTATATATATAAATTCATGCAAACCCAGACAAAAAACCTAGGCATCCTTCATCAGTTAAATATTATTAATTAAATTCATAACATTTCTCCCATCTCTACTCAGCATTTGTCAGACCACACCTGTGTTTGGTTTTGGTCCCTGTTACATAAAAAAAAATATATGGACAGGCTGGAAAGGGTCCTGAGAAGGGCCGCAAAGGTGATCAAAGGACAGGGAAGCTTGCTGTATGAGGAAAGGCTAAGAGACAACTGGATCTGTTCAGCCTTGAGAAAAGAAGGCTGAGGGGAGACCTTATCACCATGTTCTGGCACTTAAAGGGTAGCCACAAAGAAGATGGAGACTCCCTTTTTACAAGGAGTCACATGGAAAAGACAAGGGGTAATGGGCACAAGTTACTTGTGGGGAGATTCTCATTGGATACAAGAGGAAAATTTTTCAGAATAAGAACAATCAGCCATTGGAACAATCTCCCCAGGGAAGTGGTGGATTCCCCAGCACTGGAAAGATTCGTCTGGACAGCGTGCTCAACATCTAGTGTAGGTCATGCTTTGCCTAGATGTGTTGGACCAGATGATCCTTGAGGTCCCTTCCAACCTGGTGTTCTATGATTCCATGAAATATTATTAATTAAATACTATTAATTCTAGTGCCTTGTCACATGATCACATTGTTTCTCTACACTTCCTTCATTTCACTTTAATGATGCACATACCAACAAGATAGACTGCAAAACTAGAAACTCCCAATGTGGGATTGCCATCATATTTATCTAAACACACAAAACACATATTTATCAATTGACCTTTAAGATGCCTTTTTTTAATAACTTCAAATGGAACAACCCACATAATAATTCTGACTTTGGACATCACATTTTTCTCATTAGCAATGTTGCTGTTCATAAAGAAAGCGAACTCCACTTCTGAATGGCAATTCTGTTTTCTTTCCCATTTAGAAATACAATTAATTTTGAACCTTTTTGTGTGTGTTATCTTTCCTTCCTGAATAGGTAAGTCACACTTATAGCAGTGATCCTTGTGTAATAAGGCTGCACTGTACAATCTAGAAACAGCCACAACATAAGCCTTTAGCTTTTGTTATGGAACATGCAGGATATTAACTCCAGCAATCTGCTCTAGAACAACACATTTTTGTGGATTTTATGAAACTGAAAAAGAATCCACATTTGTTTTTCCCTGGAAAATTCATATTTAGTACAATGATTGGCAGAATAATGTTGGTGATACACATTTAAGAATATTTAAGAATATTGTTGTAAAAACTACCTTGCACAATTGAAAACATATTCCAAGTTGTTCTCAGCTTCTCTAACAATGACTTTATCACAGTACCAATACTGGGACTTGGCATTAGCCTCACAGCGCAACAGCACCTTCTGCAGTTTTCCAAGAGATACAGCTTCCACTTCAAAAGCATTGACCTAGAAGACAGAGGAGATGGCACTCTGCAATTTGCCACCACTAAGTCAGACTAGAAGTTGAAGTGTTTTAAAAGCCTGATTAACTCTCACAGTATACAAAGATTCCCGTTGTTTTTAATGACAGCTGAACTGTTTTCAGAGTGCTTGCATCTGAAAAGTCAAATGTCTTTTGATTACCTATCAGAGCAAACGAGAAAACACAACCAAAACCAGATTGCAGTAATAATCCCAAATAAATTGTGTTTTCATCCATCACTCAAGAAGCTGCCTACAGCCCTTCACCACTGTTTTAATACCTTGCATTTACAATTATTCTTCAGGTAAGAACAAGTTGAAGCTATTATTTCCTTTTTTAATATTTATTTAAAATACAGACTTTCTCATCTTTTTCTGTTTTTGGTCTCCCCTCCTCTATTTACACTTTATTCTGCTGGAAGAAACTGAAATCTGATACACCACTTTCCTTTTGTTATTCATTTAAGCTTGCGCTTACAGCTGGTAAAGATTGTTTTCATAGGAGCATGAAGCTGATCAGGTGAAGGGTTCAGGCTGGTGATTTTCTCTCACAGTAGAAGGCATACAGCTTTCTTTCTCCAAGGGTAAAGTCCAGATAACTCAGTAAAAGGGAAATGAATGAAAGAATTACACTGGAAAAATCCTATGTGTAAAGCTCTTGTTTTTTAGCAAATGGCAGAATTCAGACTGCCTGTGCAACTTCTCCTTTGTGTATATGCAATATATGATCACAAGCTATTCTCTCACTGCCTCAAGTTGTACACAGGCAGGACTGCAGCTTTTCAATATTTCTTTTTATCTTCATTATCTTTATGATTCTATGCATCACTTACTGCATCCACTCAAAGAGTTTAGTGAAACAGAACTGATTTCCCAGTGATTTCGCTTTTACACTTTTACAGGCCATCTACACAGATTTCATTTTACTTATATAGTTAAAACACTGAGGTTATTGCCAAAACCTGCCAAAGATGTGAAGTAGTTGGGGTGCTCAATCAAGAAACAGAAGAGTTTATCAGCATATTTAGCATTTCAAAGAGCTTATTAGGTGCAGAGCAGAATTCTCTTTGAATAAATCTCAGTTACAGCTGTGGTTGCTCAGAAAAGTTAAACTGATTTTGTAGCAAAACAGCAGCATACAAAACATGGTCACTCAGGGAAGCTTTATTTTAACTGATTTGCCCAATATTATGTAGAATATCTGTGTCAGGAGTAAAATTAAGTTGTATAAGTCATCACTCAATTGCTTCTGTCATAAAATGCCTGGCCTGTTCTGCTGCTCCATACAATCCACTGTCTCACTCACCCATTTTCATAACAAAATGCACTTTGAACTACAACCCTTAGCCCCTGTATAAATAATATCCTGAATTTACAATCAAGAATAATCCCTCTAGAAAACTCCACATAAATCCTGAATTTCAATTTGAACAGAACTTCATACTTCATAAGTTTAAAATTATATCAAATATATATTTTAAAATAGTATAGCTACATCTGAGGTTTCCCAGCAGGTTATTTCTATTCTTAGCAATTTAGACACTACTTTTTATTTTGTAATTAAGTGTTCCACTAAGACCTTCATACCATTTGTTAGACACACAAGTGCTAATTTTCGACACCTCATAAAGGAAGGTACAAGCTAAATAGAAGGTCATAAGAATGCTAAGAGCTAAGATTAAATTCCATAGTTCCTGAAATTCAACCATACACCATTGCAGAAAATCAGGATGATGAATATTTTACTCATGGATGAGTTAGGAGGCAATTGAAAGAAAAATTACTTTAAAGCTATCCTGTATTAATCACAATACATTAAAAAATGTAAATATAACATATACATTTATACATTAAAAAATGCATAACAAACAGTCCTACTAAGATCCAAGATCCCAGAACCATTTCTGTGCGCTTACTAGGAGCCAGCTCAACAGGGTAAGTTTTAAATTGATAGGCAGCTCTTATCATCCTTACAGGGGTTCTTCAAATAATTTTTCTTCCCCTTTTCCGGCCTGTATTTTCACTCATTCTAGTCATTTCTGGATCATTAGAAAATTATTTTTCTTAGCTCCTAAAAATTATTTTGTAATAATAATAAAGGTAAACCTCTGTGATCTTTTTTATTAGGTACCTGTTAGGACACATACAAGTTACTTATATGACTAAGCAAATGTTTTTTCAGACTTACCATTCCTCTCTGAAAAGTCACGGGTATACCAGTTTTATGTAGAAGTCTTAGACCAGAATCTCCTCTTTTTCCATAGATGCAGAGATAAACTGCATAGTCTGTATCAGTTTGCTCAAAGTCCCCAGTGTAGACATAAACATGGTATATGACAACTTTCAAAAATAATCAAAAGAGAAAATACAAGTTATGTGTAACGCATCCAGTTTTATTCACAATTCTAGCTTAACTGAAATGAAACAGTGCCAGCAAGTCTTATTTGCAATTAATTTTCTGGAATATACTCTCCAGAAATCAGTCTATCTGTCTTCAAGATTGCTAAAACCACATATATGAATGTACAGCAAATGGAATATAATGCAGATTACACTAATACTGAAAATGAGGTGATGTACACGTAGCTGTGCAATTGAGGTCCACACATACTTGGATAGACAGGCTTTCCAGCTTCAACTACAGGAAGTTCACAAAGAGATTCTCTACCATCACGATTCTTTGACAACCAGGTGTTTGTTGGAAAATTCAGTGTTCTCTTGCTCTTTAGATGTTGCAGTGTCACCTAGAGAAGAAGCAATTCCAGCTGTGACTCAGTTCACTCTTTCTAGTGCTTTGCTTCTTAACAGCAAAACATATTTTTGTACATTTTCTTCTATCTCAGAAAACAATACCTCAATCAGAAAATATGACAACAAAAATGTAGTATGAAAACATTTTTATTTTGGCAACTACTTTGTAACTTGGCTGGTCACTAGAGAGGATCTTTACTCACACCTGTGGTATTGCAGCTGAAACTGTCAGCCCTTATTCTCTGAATACACTCTGGACTTTAAAATTATGTTATTCTTGGAGCAAACAAGGCTGTAATTGAATCTTGCTTTTTTGCTCCTAAAAAAAACAAGGCATCAATTCTGATTTCTGTAAGTGAGCCCTCTCTATGTAACACTGGAGTACTAAAGACTGAAAACTTTTTGTAGGTGAGGTTAGGTGAGACTGAGCTTTAAAAGACATGGAAAGATTGAAACTTTTTTCATATTAAAATGAAAACAGGATGAAACTCTTCATTTGCATCCTTCTGAACTTTGGCAAGGAGAGGTTATGTTGAAATATTAAGTCAATTTATATTATATTTGGCTGTTCTACAGCAGGAAGAACAAAAGACAGCCTGAGTACCAGCACCCTCTACATATTTCTCTGAAGTTAGTTAAAATTCAAATTCTCTAGTTATTTGCCACTGTACGTTATGATAGCTGTCTTACTTGTTTCTTGTAACGAAAGCAGGCTTTCCTCTCTTTTATGAGAGCAGTTTTGTTGGTCTTAAATTACAACAATGCTCACTACAATTTTTTCCATAGGCCTTCACTAGCAAAAGGAAATCAGTGCCAGAAAACTGTCTTTCTGCACTTGTGTTTTGAATGTGCATATTGTATGCATAAGCCTTGCAAACAAAATTATGAAAACAAGTATTCACATTCAAACTCCAACACTTAGAAAATCAGGACAATGTACACCTTTATTTCACTTTTACAATAAAATAGCTTTTTAAGCAAAATAAACACTGCTTTTAACACCAAAGCAGGTATTTATTCTAACATGAAATACATTTGCAGCAGTGATTCTTCATCTTTAATGTTTATTGGCAGAGCTCCCACTGCTGATTCATAACAACTACAAATATTAACGGCTTTGTCAGAAAAATACAGCTTTCAACCTGATTTCTTTCCATGAAAATAAATATTTTAAATCCCAGGGTTACCCTATGAAATTTGGACTACTATGTTAAAGAAATATTTTGTAACTACTAGGATGGAGAGTAGGATTCCTGCAACATTTTATCAACTGAAATATTTCTACTTACATTCAGTTTTGGCACAGTAAAAGCTTTTGTGTTAATGCAAAATCCTTATGGCTGCCTAAATCAGGCTTTTTAAGATTAACTAACTGCAAAGGATAAACTTGTGTTTTTTACAGATTCAAAGTAAGAAATAGAAGACAAATACTTAACTGCAATTCTGAATTAAATCTTACATGGGGGGGGGTCAGTGTCAAGAGGAATTTAGTTTAAATTTAATCTGGTGAACATCCTCAAATATTATGGGAAAAATAGAGTTAAAACAGAAGCACAGAGCAAGACTTAATTCATCAAACTGAAAAAAAAGACAGCACTTTCTTTTCCTAGCCTACCCTTAAGCAAACTTTGTTCATTCTTCACATGCAGTTGTCATAGAATAACTGTTCCTCCATCATTTTCAAATTTTTCATAGATGGAATTTATGCTAAAATCTCCCTAACACACACTGAAGAGTGCAGGTAAGCTTTCAGAAAGCAAAACTTCTTAGAAGCAATCAATACACTAAAAATGGTATCTATAAACTACATGAATTAGAAATAATTGCGTAATAATCCTATGTATTTCCAGCTCTCAGGAAATGGACTGTATCAATGCTATACTTAGAAACATAGAACCATAGAATTGTTTGGGTTGGAACAGATCTTAAAGATCATCTAGTTCCAACACCCCTGCAGGGACACCTTCCACTAGACAAGGCTGCTCAAAAACCCATCCAACCTTGTCTTGAACACTGCCAGGAATGGGGCAGTCACAGCTTCTCTGGGCAACCTTCTCTGGTATCTCACCACCCTTTTTTGTCATCTCTAAAGCAACCTAGCAACACAAAGCAACAAGAATGTACCACAATCAGCATTTTTGATTCATAAAAATATGGCTTCATGAAAAGATGGGCTTTTAATTCATATAAAAAGAAATAAGACAGCAAAAAAAGTCACCAAAACAAATCTCACCTGTTGTAAATTCCACTCTGAGTGTTCATTCTGTAATCCATCAAGTTCAATTCTTATCTTGTAGATATTCCCAATGTTTTTTATTTTGACCTGAAAAAAAGCCAAAACAATGCAACATAAACTACATTCAAAAATACATATAACGTACACTTTAAACTTTTGTGTTAGAGGCTGCATGCTAATTCAGGAAGACCATGTCTAATAAATTAACACTGTATCCAATTCATGATAAAAGACATTTCAGTCACAGTCTCCCACACATATGGAAGTAGCAACACAATGGCAAGCACAGGTCTATGAATTATACAGCTAAAACTGTTACAGCCTTCAGGACACCTTGCCAGAAAAATACCCTAAATATTTTCTTCCTGTATTTTCAATCATCACATGTGAAGTAAATTCAAAAACCCTGTTTTCATTTATGCACAAACCCCATTTGCCCTTTATTTCTATATTTTGCCATTCATCCATTTTGGGCTATATTTCTGGAAAAAAATATAAAGCTACATCACATTGGGAGGGAGGGAGGGAAGAGGTACGTACAACTGCATCTTTATCTTTCTAATTGGTTCTAGATTCCTCTGAACCACTGTAGTATCTGAGTGTACAGGAACAGCGCACAGTATTTGATTGGCAGATTTTGGCTTAGAGGATTCAGAAAAGAGAATCCTTCTGTTTTGTCTAAGCAGGTTTCTGTCTATGCTCCAATTTGACCAGTGAAATCACAATGCTTGCCAGAGAAATGAGTTAGTAGATTTGAACTATTCAAAGTTTGAAGAGTAAAAAAAGTTGGTGAGGGCCATTCTTGAGAGCAATAAGAATATAAAATTTAATCCACTAAAATACAGGTCACATTTTTTTCATAATGGAGCACAGCAACATGATCATAAACCCTAGTGAGTCAAAGTGAAGGATAGAAAACTCTTGAAGTCCTTAAAGAATAAGCTTTGAAAAGCTGGCAGACTTTGGAAGTGACTGATGCTGTGTTTGCCTTCTCACTGTGATTTGCAGTTACTTACACTGTCACTGCACTTTCAAGCATTATATGCACTCTTATGAAAACTATTCTATGCAACTCCATCCTATGGCACTTATCTGGGGTTTATTTGAAGTCTAGCCATTATTTAAAGTGAGCATAAATCATTTTAGAGCGTTTCTAATGTAGTGCTAGGGAAGAACAAGTGCTTTAGAATGTTATTTCTCAAAAAACAATTCTATTAGCAAAAAGTTGGTAACAGCCTAATCCTCTCCATCATTCACATTCGGAACAACTATTTTCACTGTACAAAAATTACTTTCTTTTCATTCTGTTAGAAACACCTACTAGCCTATTATCCACTCATTCTTTACCTTCATTAATAAAAATCCCTCTTCTCTTTTCAGAGATCAGAATTACCTCAGTTCCTATATCAGCTTTCATGCTCTTGTATAATACACTTTCATGTTACAACATTATCATGCTTTAGTCAAAGATTTCTATAAACAAACAACTTTTACCCTTGATTTCCTGGACACTGAAATCCACTCAGTGAATCACAATAGTTGTTTTAGAAAGAATCTGTGGAATTCACACCTGGTATTTGTGTTTGTATAGTTACTACATTGACCTGAATTTCATTAACAAAATAAATACTAACTCCAGGCTTGCAGCACCGATGTGACAATATGATTCCTGTCTGTTCCATCAGCTTAAGAAAATAACTTTGTTTGGTGGAGTTAGTTTCTGGTATCCTTGCTTATGCTGCATATTTCTCTCTATAAGTAGTCTTGCTAGAGGTAACCTGGAGACTTTGGGATTAAAGCAGTAGTAAAGTAAGGGCATATGCACAGCTTGACTTAAAACCTTACTATTGTCATTTCCTGCATTTCACAAAACAACTGAATTCTCAAGTAACATGAGATACTGTCTTGTCATTCACAGAGCTGGTGTTCACTGAATATACAGTGCTATCATGTCGTCTGTTTATTCTAATGAATCTCTCTTTAGCCTTTTGGTTAAAAAAAAAAAAAAAAGAGTTACATTAGAATTTCATGTATCAATACAAAACATAAATGCACTGGACTTTGTCAGAATACAAAGAGTGATTTCTGCCTCAAAAAAGCAGAGGTCTCCCAGACAAAGAACTCAGGTAGCCTTGATTTTCTTCATGCCCAATCTTAGAAAATATTTAACTGGCAGTGACTACCCACCTGGCTAAGGTAACAGAGGGAAGAGCACAGATTAATTCTACTCAAATTTTTCATAGTTGGGAATGCTGCTGTTAAGTGAAAAGTTAAAAAAAAACTGATTTAAAATTGCCTCAGTATAACAGGCTTTTGAAATCTGTTTTCTTCATTGAAATCCTGGTCAGAGCTATGATTAAATTGATTTCTTAAAAAAACAGAATTTGGTATCTTCTGCTCTGGAAAATATCAGTGGAAAAGTATCAAGCTCAAGATGTAAACGGTAAAAAAGAAGATGAATCTTTTTAAGTCTTACATTCCTACTTTCATTTCAAGACTTATCCTGCTAAGCAAGTGCAGGATAAAGTTTGAAGAGAAAAAAAGAAGAAAGGGCTCTTACTCAGAGGCTTTTTCTTTGTGGATTTATCTACTGCAGACTAAAGAGTGAAAAGCACTTTGGTGACATTTGCTGTTTCATGCCTGAAAGCAATAGTGTCAAGAGAGATGTAAAGAATCATAGTAGTAGCCCCAGGTGCTGAAAGATTCTGCTCTCAAAAGATCAATATCCCCAGCACACAGCCATAGTGGGTAATATCTATTTTAGAGAAGAGAAATTGGTCCATCTCTTAAGAATGTATGGATTAACACTGCAAACATGCCATTACCCAAGGTTGCTTATAAATTATTCACTAATTAGGAGAACAGGATTCCCCATGGACCATGATATATAGCTTACATGCTTTTAAAAGGAACATTACAGTTGGTTATCTTCCTGCCTATGCCCTATTCATAGAGAGTGTTATGATTAATATTATTGAGAGTAGCAATCTTGGTTTGTACCAAAATTGTATTAGAAGAGTTGATGAGTGTGGAAAAAAAATCTGAACAAAATGTGATGAATATAACTTCTGCCTCAGTTAGCTGAAGACAGGAATGTGTTACATGCATCTCAGACAGAAAGATTCAAGCAAAACAAATCTTAGCCCCTTTGGTAGTTTCCTCCCATCCTATCTAGACATAATTTCCTTACTACAAGAGAGGCGAGGTTATTCTTAGATAATAACAGAACTCTGTGTTTTCATGGCACGCTAACATGAAGGCTTTTAGTAATTCCATAAGTAAAACTTCAGGCATTTCTGTTATTTATAATATGGAGGCTGTAAGAAGGTTTTCCTTCCTAAACTGAACTAGTTCCACAGTATACATTTTATATTATGCTTGAAAAATATATACACGAAGACTTAATTAAAAAATATATAAGTCTTACATCAAACACAGTTTGTTTAGGAGTGGACAGTTTCTAAAGCTACTTTCAAAACAATTGCCTTAAAGAAATCAATTTACTCCCTCAGTTGTCCCATTTGGACTACCGTGTGAAGGACAGGGGGTTGAAAGAAAGAGTATTTCCTCTGTATGCACCAAGCTGATTTAATGCAGAATTCATAGAGATTAGATATTTATTTTATGCAGTAAACATAGGAGAAAAACATTTTTTCTTTTCGCATGACAGAATAGTCTTTGGAAAGGTACATATTAAAATAATGTTCTTAGCCTTAATTAGCTACCTGAAATTCATCCTCCTGCCTGGGAAGAAACAGCTGCTTTCTGTTGTCCTTGCCAAGAGTTATTGGTCCAGCTACTCCTCTGTCTCCATATATCCAGAGAGAGATATTTGCTTTTGTTCCTGCTTTTCCTGTCAGCATTGACACTCTCCATTCATCATCCGAAGGAAGGGGACACTCACCACCTTGGGGATTTCGCATTTCCTCTGTGAAATACAGAACATTAGTAGGAGACAAAAATCATCATGAAGCTGCCAGTTGCTGTTGTAACTTCAGCACATGAGGAGACCATAACAGAGAGAGGATTGTATTTTTTCATGGCAAGAAAGATAGTCTGAAAAGATTGATGTATGTTTCTTGTCTAGACCAAAATGTACTGATCAGTTGAGCTACAAGAATCAGCTGGAAAAGAACAAGTAGCTCTCATGTGCACTATTATCATATTATTCTTTATACGTATTCTTAGAGTAAGGATGCTGTGATGCAGAACTATGACATTTGGAAATGAGTAGAATTACTTGTTAGTACTCCTCTAATGCCTTGTGTTGGGACATTATCAGCAGAATCACATGTCTGAGAATAGAGGCAATTTTTATTTCAAATAGGAAAAAAAGAAATCATTCAGGAAATTAACTTTCTTCAAGTTAATTATTAATGAAATACTGTAAAATACTCAAAAAAAGCACAATGTAGCCTTGCCCAATTATACCTGTGCACACAGTGCCAGCATTTGGGCTAAGCATGGTTCTGTATGAATATGAGAGTAGCAGCACAGTACCACTTTATGAATAAGTTTCATGGATTTAATGGATAAGAAAATATCATTTTGGAAAACAGATATTTCACTTGATCTTCCATCTCCCTTAAGAGAAATACATATATGCACAAAGATTTCAAGAGACACATCTGCACATGAGAATTGAAAAAATAGACTCTCTTTGGATAAAGAGGTAAAGGAATTTAGTTTGAGTATTCTAAGCAATGTGGAGTTTGCAAACATCAGGTGTCTGGAGCACTACTTTTCAATAAGGTGACCACCAATCATGAAGTCCTCTCCAAAACAGGATCACAAGACCACAAGAATTTATAATCTGTTCTGGCACAAGAGGCAGATATAAACCCTACATTTGAAAAGATGAACTACCACATTATCTGTATACTGTGCCCTGCAGGGGTTCCCAAACTGCTCTCCGTGAGGTCTCTCCATGCAACTGCAGAGACTTCTTAATATGCTAACCATAGTGACTATAATCTGTACTGCAGATTAATTTTCTTTTGTATCCCCCAGCTCATCCTTCATCCATTATGCAGCTTTCTATGAACCAAGCTTTTGGAGGCCAGAAACTCCCAACACATAATGATGTTTTCTTACAATTTTGCAGAATTCATAAATAGCCACTGGTACGGATTTGTTGAAGAATTCCCACTGCATCACTATGTATGTTCCTGCTGCATTATATACCTTGCTATTAGAGCCCTTTTTTATTTGCTTGCTTAAAATACTGCACTGGGCTTCTCTGGGCTCCAGTTTTCCCCCTTCACTTATTAAACTGCCTTTACCTCAAAGCAAAATAAAAAATAAAAATAGAAAAAAATGTTAAAAAAACACCATCACTCACCTCCAGCAGAATGACACCCAGCTAGTCCCCAGGTAACAACTATTTCAGTTTTATTCCTGAGCATGACAATATATGGTATGGCGCATCTCTTTGTTCAGCTGGGGTCCATCCATCCTACCATCAGTAGGTTCCATCCTAGGCCCTTGCTGTTGTCACCCTCCCCCCAGCCTACTCACTGGGAGGGCAAAGAGAGAAACTAAGGTGGACTCAGTGCTGTGCAAGGACTGTTCAGCAACACCTAAAACAATAGTGTGTTATCAACACTGCTTTGGTCACCAGGCTAAAACACAGCACCAGAACAGACTGCTGTGAAGAAAATTAAGTCCATCCCAGCCAACGCCAAGTCTTTGAGCAACCTCGTCTAGTGGAAGGTGTCCCTGCCAGAAGAAGGGGGGTTGGAGCTAGATGAACATTAAGGTCCCTTCCAACCCAAAACATCCTATGATGCTACTAAAATAAAGCAGTACCTATCACAGAAATTTGCAAAATTTATCTATGTCTTGCTGCTAGCATTAAAATGTAAGTTTGGAGGTAAAGTGAAAAACAGTTTTGAATCCTTGAGACCTGCTTCTCAATAAAATTTTATAAGCAACAAATTCCATATCCTACTGAAACACCTCTGAAACAAATTGGGTAAACAAAGAAGGATCAATTCAATACTGAGACATGGTCTTGATCTTCCCTTTAAATTTCCTTAAATGTCACTTTTACAATAGTAAATAAATGCCTTTTCTCTTAAAAATTGGACTTAAAATTAATTACGTAGTTTCTTGGGTCGATTGTCCTATAGGTTAAATCAACACGGTAACTAAAGCACCAAACCTGAATTATGATGCACTAGCACTGAATTCAACTGATGTGGAATAACTGCACAGGGAATTGCAAAGGAATTAGGATCGAGTACCGGATTACATGACAAGAAAGGACTAAATTCTGGAGTCAGGGGAATTTCAGCCTTGGTAAAGAGTCTAAAATTAAGTTAATCAATTTTTAAGAATTCAGAACTGCAATAGTATGGCTTTTACAACAGTGCTTTTAGCAGTAGTAGTAGTATGACTTTGGAATTATCTGGATACAGTAATTTAGAAATAAGCAATAGTGTCATAAAAATCACTGGGTTTATTAGATTATTCATCATGTCTGAGAACAAGTTATTCTGAAAGAAAAAGGAAAATCCATACACTCAAAATAAAGCAAAAAGACAAATATCTTGTATTTACCTGACTAAAAACTTAATTACACTCGTCATTCAGAACTGAAGGAATGATATCAAAATAGTTACTTGGTATAATAAATATTTTTGAGAACTTGAGTATATGACATTCTGTAACTGTAGTTACCTTGCTTCTCACCTGTAACTCTGAAAGCTAGAGATTCTTCCAGCTATCTAAACCCACACCTTTCTTATACAGAGATGAATATTTTCATGAAATGCAGAGGTGTTCAAGAAGCATAAGGAATCCCAGGCTGCTCCATAGGCTTAGCACAAGATTTGCATACTCGGGCTTAAACCACACTACTAGTTTAAGCAGCTACGGCAACCTCAGGCTATTCCCTCTTGGAAACAATTACAATGCACAAACAATTCACAGGCTTGGAATGCTTTTTGCCTCATAATTTACTGGCTCTTCTTACAAATGGAAATCAGTGGCATTGATTTGCTACAGGTTAAAAATATTCCAGCCTGAAAAGAGCATTTGATGGTTACCCTGCATTAGTCATGGGAGCTTACACACTTCATGACACCATGCTGTAAATCTGTTCTGACAAAAATTCATTCTGATAGGTCTGCATGAGAATGGTGAAGTCACAGCTCTTCATGCAGTTTCATAAAAATAACTTTATTTTTTATTTACTTATCCTAAATCTAAAGCAAAAAGAAATGATCTTCTGAGACAAGATCGTTATGACTGAGTGACACTTTTGAAATGAACCATCAGAAAAACTAATCTTTAAAGCAGAAGCTTGGACACTAAAGTTGACACGTTTATTACACCTTTTTGTATCATCATTTCCAATGTAATCCAAATAGAAATAAGATCAGAATTGATTAGAATCTTCTTTACTCTTCTAAGTAAAATATATTAAATATTAATAGTAACTAACAGTATCCCAGACATACAGGAAAGGAACATGGTAGGCATAGAAATAATTTCTCAGAGATGCAATTTGTTATTTTTAAGGTTTTAGTGTCTTCTGCTTCATCTCCTTTATCCCTAGACTTTGTGGTACTCTAGCTATGAATACAGTATTTCCCTTCTCTTTTGGGGAGTGCTTTTGATCTGTCTTGAGTCTGTAAAATGGTGTCTTGCTCGCATTTTAGCTGACTTGTTTCCTATACTCATTCCATCCCATGAGCTGTTGAGTAGAAGCTGAGACCTACCATTATCCTTCTACAGTGAAAGAAATTTTTTGAGGGACAGAGAACTCACACTGCAACAGGAGAAGCCCCAGTTGCTGTGGCACAGTTTTCAGTTTAATTAATGCTAAATCAATTATTATTTGTGAAAACAACCACCAAAACACAGCTACTGGTTAGCAGACACAGACATAAAAAAGACGGCCTGGTCAGCCTACAGGTTAATCTGCTCTGAGTTTGTATTCTAAGTGTACTCAATACAATTACCCCTTTTTTGAATGTTAGCCAGGATTGAAAAAGCAAATGAGTATTTAATGATTATCAGCTTCAAATTAAGGCTCACCTATACATATAAAAAGTCAATAACCTTTAAAGTATTCTGAATTAAGATATCTTACTAAAAATTAGCATTTCATTTGAAGGGCAGAGTAACTGATATTTCTATTCACCTTGCATAAGCAGAGTCCAAATTTATGAATGTTAGAAATATTTCTTACAAAGTTCTATAGTCTCTGTGTGACCAATTTCACAGCAGATACTGCTTCTATAAAAGGATTATTTGTATCCAACACCAAAAACATCCAGCTTCTTTGAAAACAGGTTTGATGGTTTGTGTATTGTTGCCATGGGTTTCAGATACAGCATATCTCACCAATTGCTGACAACCCACAACACTTTGGGAAGGCTAATACAGTGATACAGCATGAATTCTGATAGAATAGAAACTGAAAGTGAGTAATTCGAGCTAAGAATGGAAACATTGGAAGAAACAAATAGTAATTTATAATAATAATCCACATTTATGATTTGAATTGAACTAAGAGTTCAAACAAATTTTTTTTAAGTCCTTACTGATACTTCACCTTATACCCTATGAACAAGTATGCCATATTTGATGTCTTGTTCACATTGCCAGGCTTTTCATGTACTCTTTGAAATTGCAGACTGAGGACCAAGCTTATAATCAAATCAGCAACCCACCTGAATTATTTGGTACATGAATGCCTTTGAGACTACCTCCAGCTGACTAAGCATGTCTCTCTTAGTGGAATCTCTAATATAACCTTGTCTTTAAAGCTCACTCAAAGTAACAGATATGTTTGCACCATGTGGATGTGCCTCAATATGCTGTGTGAAGCTCGATAGTCCCATTTATCCCTTCTGCTTTTCATGGCAATGTGACATGGTTCAGGCTGTGCAAACAGCATCCTTGGGTACATTGAGATAAAAGAGAGGCATGAAGTAAACATAATCATCCCCTGTCCTTAAGAGATATATTATTCTCTGTTTGACACATCTTTGGTTACTAGGAGGCCGAATACTCTTGTAAAATGTTTTGAGTTTGGAAAACATTGTCTTCTGTGATTTATGCAATTTCTGTTGCTAAAGAAGAAAGTGGTGGTTTATTCCAAAAAAACCCATCCAGTAGACTATCACTCCAGAAGCATGACCAGAACATTGTTTATCTACTCCTACCTGCTAAAACACAGGCATAAAGCTAGCATACAGTGCACCAAAACCTTCTTATTTCCCTCAGTGAATCATAAAGCAGAATATGTAAGAGAGAGCATAAATAAGAAATATTCTGTTACTTTCAGTGATCTTTGGATTGGGCTCTGTGTCATAGCAAACTGTTCATTTCCACAAAAATAGCCCTTATGATAGATGGCTAGTTACTTTAAAAAAAAGAGCAATGTGAAGTTATTCAACTCACCGATTATTGCCTTATCAGTAAACCACATTCTAATGTCCTTTTAAAAAACAATAACCAGTAATGTGTTTTATGTTGTATGTATGCATGCATAAACCAATAGTCTAGAAAAGCTATTCATTGGCCTTTCTGGGATAAGTCACTGCAAACGTGTATGGAAGACAGACATAACACAATGCTATATCACAAATACTTCATAAACTGTTGCTTACTTGAGGGTGGAAAAGTTAAAGAGCTTTGAGATACTGGCTTCTGGGCTTTTGCTAGTTGGAGCTGAGATTCACTGAAGTCTTTTTTCTCTTGATTGGGTGCTGCAGATGTTCCCATAGGCTTTTCCCGGCCAACTGAAACAATGAAATGTAAATTTTGTCACTAGCTTCAAACCATTTGCTTTTTCTTGCTTGGAAGCTTCACACGCATTCAGTGACAAGTGCTAATAACAGATCTCACAATTGTTCAACACGGTGGACATTGAAATTGTTTCTCTAAGTATTGCACAGCCAGTAGCAATAGGCTTTTATATTTAGTAGTTTGCCACAAAAAAGGTAAAAAAAAATCTGGCATTCCAATAAAGTCCTTTTACTGCTTTGAAAATCTAAGTAACTATTTAACATGGATGTATGAATAAAATGACTAGTTAAAATGCAGTTTTCCCTAAAATAAACCTCTCCACCCTCCTGGTGTTTTCTTTAAGAGTGAACACTGAAATGAAAACTGCTAGAGGCCATTTCTGATAACAAAGTACCAAACAGATAATCATGGAAAATATTAGCTCCCTTTATCTTCCTTTTACTGAGCAACAAGGATTCAGCAGAACTGGAGCCTGTAACAAAGTAATATTTAGCTTTATTTTAATGGCACCAGTAAGCCCTGCTTTGTTGAGAATTCCCATTGAAAAGGCTGCTCTTCCGAAAAGTAACAAAGAAAAATATACTTTCCTCATTTCTACAAGGACACAGTGACCGAAATATTCTTGTCACCTTGCAACAAGTAGGGACTGAATGGTAGGGGTGCTGTTACAGTGACTTTCATAATGCTTCTGTATGTCTCAGTAACAATACATATAGAACAATTAATAATATGACTGGTTGTACATTTAGATAATTTCTCTTGAAGATAAGATCAAGCTCATTCAAGACGAGCTTCTTCTGACTGTGCCTGGCAAAAACCTGACTGCCTCCTTCAATTTCAAATGTCCAGTTTACCTTTCTCATGAGATTTTTCATTTCTTGATCTCTGTAGCAATGTCCACCAGAGAAGAATACAAGTGCTTAATTCCATTGTTTTCTGCAGTTATAATCCAAGTCAGCTGGCTTTGTTTGGTAACTAATTGTCATAGAATAATAGAATAGTTAGGGTTGGAAAGGACCTTAAGATCATCAAGTTCCAACCCCCCTGCCATGGGCAGGGACAACTCCCACTAGACCAGGTTGCTCAAAGCCCTGTCCAACCTGGCCTTGAACACTGCCAGGGATGGAGCATTCACAGCTTTCTTGGGCAACGTATTCCAGTGCCTCACCATCCTTACAGTAAAGAGCTTCCTCCTTATATCCAATATAAATTTCCCCTGTATAAGTTTGAACTCATTACCCCCTGTCCTAAAACTACAGTCCCTGATGAAGAGTCCCTCCCCAGCATCCTTATAGGCCCCCTTCAGATAGTGGAAGGCTGTTATGAGGTCTCTACGCAGCCTTCTCTTCTCCAGGTTGAATCTGGAGAATTGTCCAATGAATTAATATTTTCATTCTTCCTCAGGAGAAGAGATCAGCACACAATCCAGTTGCCATGATCCAGAGTGTGCTGAGAGCTAATTTCTGAGTCCTACTTAGTTGACTAGAACAAGTCAGCTCCCTAGTGAGGAAGATTTTGGACCTCAATAGCTCTCAAATCTGACTATGGGACAGAAGAATCACTTAATGAATATACTAGTAAAAAAAAAAAATTATTTCTTCCGCATCATTTATTGTTATAAAAAGAGAGAAAAGTAGATAAATTAGCTAAGTATGCAGGAGAAATTGTGTGCATACAGTAAGTTTTTCAGCTCTAAAGTTACCAAAAGAAAATAAGTAAAATGGTTTCAATTTCGCTTTTACAATTTTGCTTTGATTTTTTTCAGTTAGAAATACTAATCACTAAGGCAAACTGTACAATATTAAGAAATCACATACATTTGATGACCTGTGGGTAGAAAAAAATGTTCCTCTCTCCAGTGTTAATGACTGGCTTAGTCTGGCCATCTGGCAGGAGACCAACATATATCCCTTTATGTTGCACTGATTCTAGACTTACAGATCCAGTTTCCAAATTCTTCTCAATTCTAAAGTGACAGTATTCATCACCTGTGCCCTAAGAAATTGAAAACAAAACATGAATTTAACAACTGAACTGATGGAGCAAGGCAAGTGGATGTTTTTTTAGGAATTAAATATTACTATTTTCTAATAACATTTCAGGTTAATTTTAGGTTCTTCACAACATGCTGCACTAATATACACACAAAGACATACCTGCGCCTTATTCCTGTTTATTCCTTTGTGACCAGAAAGATTGATCATATAATTTGAGTGAGTGAAAGACCACATATGAAAGCATTTTAATTTATGTTAGGATTTAGGCAAAGTCTAGGATATATTCAAAGGATTACCACACTTAAACAACTTTCAGATGATTAGGGAATGTGAAAATGCCTAATTTGGAAATCCAAGTATATTGATATACAAATTGGTAAATAGCACAATTTGCTAATGCTACCGATATAACATCTGTTAAATATGCTTTTGTTCTTTTCATGAACTGCAACTCTTAACATTTTTTCCTCCATTTCATAACACTTACAAGATCAATCTCAAAGCCTTTACACAATCAAAGCCGCAGTAGACCTCTACACCATGCCACCTTTTAATAGCAATAAATTAGCCTGTCTGTTGATTTTAAAGCACACAGGACCACACACAAATGTAGCAGCCACAGTAATATGGCTGAGACATCAAAGACTACCTAGCTTTCAGAATATCCTTCTGGCCAGTACCAAATACAGACTATAAAAATCCTAGTATAACGTGTCTCAGAGAAGAGCACTCACTCTCATATTATACTTTTAACCTCAAAATACACAAACTGCTAAAGAAAAACATTCAAGTTGTACGTTAAATACTCCTTTCAATCCAGACCTCCTGGTGAAGGCACTGCTAAAAAATTAAGCCTATATTCAAAATATGGTACAAATACCTTAATCTCTGATCGAACTATATTGGAGTCAATGACAAAGCTCTAATGGACCTCACATCTGAATTCTTACATAGCTCTACTTCATACTCACATGTTGAAACTCCCAAATAAAAATTATGTGAGAATGTGAGATATTTTAACTTGGATGAACAGACTCAAACTGCAAGTCAGTGTAATACACAATTGCTTACCTCTTAATGACTCTTTAGTGGGGTTTATCATCAATTTATTTAGATTCAATACTACTTTAAGCCCCTGAACATATTTGTGTTCTCACATATTCAAAACTATAATATCAGTTCATAGCAGCAAACAGTTATAGGATTAGTAAACATTGAGTCTAATGAGCAAATACGATGCCTCACTCTTCTTTTTGCTCTCAAATATGAATCTGCAATAGTTAAACTGCTAGCAGATAGAGAATATTATACGCCCCAAAATCAGAATATTTCAACCATCCACCAGGCTGAGTTTAGTTATTACTAAATATGCAGAATACTGGTGAAGTATTTGAAGAATAAACTGTATGTGGTTGCCTGATGAATTAAAAAAAAAAACAAAACAAAACAGCTTCTTCATTTCAGACAAAACACTCATTTGTAAAAGCTGGGACACCAACATTGATGCAACAGTTTCCAAACTCACACCAGTTTAACTGGGTGTTTAACAAAAATCAAATTAACAGAACAGAGTCTTGACAGAGTCATCAACTCTCTCGCAACACATGAATTTTAACTACATCCACATTCTGAGTAAACATCTAATCTGATCTTTACAGTCAACTGTCAAATAGACATGACAGCATCTCTCGCTGTATCTTTCTATTTTTATTTGGGCAAATGAAGTAAAAGATCTGAAAATTTTTAAATCTGAATTATGTTTTATCCAATTTTTATCCAAGCAAGTAAAAAAAGATTCTCTCCTATCACTGACAAGTTACGCAAACTGTCTCCACAGAGAAATACAAACAAGAAATGCTTACTGTTCCATTACACTGGTCATCTTTGATCTTCAGATACATCCTTGGGTTTCTCACACTTTCAAACATGCAGAGTCCAGAGCCAATTTTATGCACCTTCCAGTAGGATTCTGGCTGCTGCTGACCTGCTCCACTGCAGCTCCCATCAGGTCTAAGGGACAGAGCCTGGCAGAGACTTGTGTTAAGCAGAATGATGGCACCATGGTGAAACACACCCTGCAGATCAGAGACAAGAAGTCCTTCTTCAATAGCACAGTTTTTCTCCATATTAAGCTTTGATACTGATAGTGTTCACACTATCTCAAGCACCTATTCATGCATAAAACATAGTGAGCCCCAAGTAAACCAAGAATGTCTTCAGTCTTTAAGTATTTGCTGCTTTCTGTGCACACATCAACCTAAAAAGTAGAAAATCTTCCCTACTCCACAGCTTCCCTACTTTTTATAGTTCAGCAGCGCAAGTACAACATCCAGAGCACACAGTCAAATTAAGGAGCTTATCTCTTTTTCCTTTTTCTCTTTTTAGGTAATTAACCATGCAGCTCTCCTGTATGTACCTACCGTCCTACTTTTCCAAGCTTTACTACAGAGCTGAGACACACATCTCGTTGCGTTATAGCCCATCCCAGTTGGTATACCACCTGCAGTATTGGCATCTCTCCTCCCAGGAGGGCAGGAAAGGGAAACTTGGCTAGTGCCGCCTACCTGTTAAACTGTAGTTTAGCTCCACCTGGTGGAAAAGGATCACTCTTATAGCTCGCAATCCGCCGACATTTGATAAGAAATCTTCTTTATAACAGTAAACTTTAGAAGAGCCTCTGTAATTTGTCTCTGCCCCTCTTACCTTGACATGCACAACAAATTCTTTGGAAAGTCCAGCATATCCTGTTGTTTCATCAGGTACTTCGCCATGAAGATTGAAAGTGATGGTGTGACCTGGGTTCCTGGCTGACTCAAGAATAGCACAACCATTCGGTTGAAGATGAACACAGAGCTCACAGCATGCTTTGTCTTTGCTCTAGCATAGTCAAAGTGGAACTAATCAGTTATATGAACTATATGGCAAAATCCAAAACAGAGTATCACAATACAGGTTCTGAATTGTTTGAGTTTCCACAATACTGACAGTCAAGTATAAAAACATCTTTATATTTTTCAGATTGGCAGTCCTAATACTTAAATCCTAAAACTGTGGACTCTTGAACCTCAGAGCACAGGAAAAGTTCATCTTAAATTAACAGAGATCTGAAGATAACATGAAAGATACCAGGGTGCCTCAGTTGGAGATGGATTTAATGTTGCAGCCTACATATATGACATATAAAACTGACATAAACAGAAAATGAACTACAGGAACTCTCTGCCACCATCCCCCCCTCTTTTGCCTCTGTGTTTGTCCTCATTTTTTTATACTGTTAAACACCTAGGGAGACATAAGTTTTATGTGAAAAAGTAAAGAAATTTTCCATCCACGTTTGCCCATTCAGGTTTGAATATTCTGTGATCCCATTGTATAAAAGACACAGTATACAAAACACATAATTAAATATTTTATCAACTCCATCATTATCCTCATTTTTAATAAAACTAGGTTTTTAACGAATGTTAAATGCTAACAATCATTCTAATGATTTAAAAGATTTCTGGCTTACATCATCTAACATTTTTTCAGCACTTTTAAGACTTCGAAGAATCAATATTTCTAGGGAAAATTTTCATTTCCAAGGCACTTTCTAAAGAAAAAGCTTCATATCCAAAAAAAACTTGTCTATCAGATTTGGTATACCTTCAAATGTAAAGGAAGAAATTTATGGATTTCTTAAGAGCTTCTGAAAAGAGTGAGCCAATATGTCCTCTGAGTATAATTAAGTATGTATCATTAAAAAATTGCAACTTTTGTATTGCCTTTTTGCTTTACATTTACCTTTTTTTCATTCCAAGGACCTTGGATAGGTTTAAATTGCATTTTTTACAATCCATGGGAAAAGCAACATCTTACCCAACTAAAAATAAGAAAATTGAGATCCAGATTTTCCATAGGTTGCTCAAAATCATAAAGCATGTCAGTAGCAAAGCAGGAAAGAGAAAGTTCAAATTTAAGTACCCAATAAATACAGTGAGATATACTGCAATGTGACAGACTGCAAGGGATTCTCTGTATCAGAATTACACTAATGAACATGAGCATCAGAAAGTCCTGCAAGGAGGTCTCACAGTTTTCATGACAGCTTGACACTAGCCCCACTGAAAAACCCATCTCTACTGAGAATATTCTATACCCACCCATGCTAATGCACATGATGTGAAAGAGGAGTGAGACCAGCTCTATGTATGAAATTATTAATTGGATAAATAAGGGGAAGAAGAACTTGAAAATGTGAAAGAGAAACAGCTTCTTTGCTCACCATGAGAAGAGTTTTATAAAGAATTAACTTCTATAACTCCATTTGCCTACTTGTATATTGCAATTGCTGGGAAAGAAAGGCAATAGTAAGACTTTGAAGATGGGAGGAAACAAATCAAAGTCAGTCTAAACAAATGTGGTGTATATTAGTTGGCTTATGACAGGGATGTTACTTAGAAAAAGACACAAAGGAAAAAAGGACGTTTAAAAATCAATCTTTAGAATTTCCACTTTTTTTAAAAAAAAGAAAAAAAAAGAAAAAAAAAGAGGAGAGACAAAATAGGGCATTGCAGGTACCTTGTCAGCATGTGGCAAGCTGATATAAATTACAGCTTGGAATGACATGCTATTCCTGCGTCAAATAATTTATTCTAGTAAAAAATCTTAGCAGAGAGTAAAAAGTAAACTGAAAGAAAAAAAATCCCTGTATCTAAATTCACCTGTTCATTGGCGATTTCCTGGGTTCAGTTCTGCAATTCTTAACTCTTTATCTGACTGGAAATACTATTATTTATTAGGTAGATTTAAAAGAGCACCATTTTGAATCAGGCAATGACACGTAATTATGAAGCAGAAATCAGTAACAGCATTTCCTACCTTTCCGATTACATGGCCATTGACAAGAGCAAGAGCAAGACGTGGAATCTGATGACTGCTGAATATACATATATTTCTCCTTTTGACATTTACATCAAAAATGCCTAAGAGTAAAATGAAAAAGATGGTAGAATTATGAAAGTATTTTAATTCATATATGCATTTAATTACAACTGATGATTTATAATTTTCAAGGGAAAAGAATAACTGAATTGTTTAACTCAATAGATCAAAGAATCCTCTCATTCCTTCAGGAAAGGATATCCAGAGACTACTGTCTGTTTCACTGCCTTGAGGAGAAAAACCCTGAGAGCTAATGATAAGACACAGTTTTGGTTTATCAGTGTATATGCTTTAAAAAAGTCCATAAAAAGGAGCCGAGGACTCTGGCATAATGAACCGGGCTATAGCAACAAATTTACATAATAAATAACAGATGATGTAGGGAACATAAAGCTCTCAGGTAGGAAAAGGGTATTCATTTTCTCTATATCCATATCAGAATTTGTAAAGCAAATCTTGCATCATAGCTCATGGCTTCTAAAATTCTAAATCTGGTCAATTTTCCAAAAATTACCTCTTATAGCTACAAAACTCTGATGAAGACTAAAGTAGTTCCATTTTTATTGCTCCCAGCAGCAACATCTCGTATTTTTAAACTGTTCTACCAGTACATTATGTTGCCTATTTGTAAGTTGCAGCTGCTCCTGAACGAGTCCATAACGTAAGATTTTCAGAGTGTCACTGGGAACATAAAGAATCATGCAGCTAAGGATCATTGTGCCCATTGGGATAATGCCACAAATAATAAAATACAGATGGAGCTTCCAGTCCTTTGGACAAGATAGGAAGGACACATAACTGTAACAATGGGTTTCTGCTTTCAGAGAGAGATAAAGCTTCCTGAGAAATTAAAACACCCTAGACCAAATCATCATCTCGTATAATTTGCCATCACCACTTTGAAGAACTTTGAGTTACATTGCTTTAGATCTGTTGAAGACAATTAAACAGTTCTACCAGTATCTGAAATGCAGAGTTTTGTACTAGGAAAGATAGATGGATAATTTATGTCAGAGGACTTTATTACAGAGCATACACAAGGAAGTAAAGCCCCTAAATGAAAATTTAAACAACCATCCCAAGTTAGTGCTTGTGGACTTCTGTTGCACGTGACTATTATACAGGCTTTGTAAATTACTCCACAAATAACTAAAATAAATCTGACACAAGAAAGATGTTGCTCTGAAGGCACAAGAGTTACATGATAGGTGTCTGCATTCATTTTGTACTTGTGTTTGTTTTTCACTCTGAACTGTAAAAAAAAAATGCATGGTTATTCCTGTATCTTTAACTCTGATATAAGAGCAGGTTGTTCAGAAAAATGAAGCTCTTTTGGATTACCAGTTTAACTCCTAATTATTACTAAATTTTTGGGAGGTCGCAGAGCACGCTACTAATTTTATGGCTTCCAATTAAATTTATTAACAGTTTATACCAATTTTCTCTTGAACTTTCTAACATATTTAATTATATTTATCATCTTTACTGATATTTATTAGTTGTGCACCAGATTTTACACTTAAACAATTGTATATATTATTAATTAAATATTGTGACTGAATTTAACATCTAACATGCAAAAATGTACCAAAAAGGCACAGAATGCAATAAAGATGTCATATTTATGCTGAAAAATATCACTTGAAATGCATTAATTTATAGAAAGGATGGTGCATCTAGATGAAAATCATTAAAAATTCTGCAGTGTGAACTTGAATTCTGTATGTTAGAAGATTATGAACTCTGTGATGTCTAAATGATCTAATTTGCCTTAATCAAACCAGATACAATCCATCAGTTGAAGACACATCATTTAAGAGCAGCAAATATGTGCTTGATGCATCAGTACAAATTAGAGATCAAATTCCTACAAGCAGGTAGTTTGCTCTGTCCCCAGTTTATGATTCTAAATGGATCTCCTTGGAGGAAGGACACTATCATGCTGTGCAACTGCTTTCAAGCATTTGAAACACTTGCAGACCCTAAAGCCATAGCATAGGAGATTTGAGTTATTTGCTATTTGAGTCATCAGATACCTTGAACTCAAGCACCAATACTGCTAGCTAGTAAGAAGAGCTTTAGTAAAACAGATTATTGCCCACTTTCAATGTTTGTAATATTACTGATCTCCCATATTATAC